TACTTATCTTTCTGTAACAATCCTTGCGACAAACTCAAAAAATGTGTTCCGCTAAATCACTTATTGCGACAAATTTTCGTATGTTACAAAATATCTTGTTGCAAAATCACATTTTTGTTGTAGTGATTGTCAGCTTATGAGTTGCAGTTAATTTTGATGTACTTTTCTCGGGAAGGGAAGGACTCTCGGTGCACATTAGAGGTGTTTGAGTGGTTGCAAAAGGAGAATAGGGTTGACAAGGAGACAATGGAACTAATGGTGTCAATTATGTGTTCATGGATGAAGAACTTGATTGAGAGGAAGAAAAAGGTTGGGGATGTGGTTGATCTTTTAGCGAACATTAGTGCCGGTCCTGACTATAGGCGGGATAGGCGATCGCCTAAGACCCCACTTCAGTGAGGGCCCCAAAGGAATTATTATATCTTATTTTACATGTATTTTTACATATATATAGGGTCACATATTTGAAATTGATCTAAGGCCCCCCAAAATCTCAATGCTGGCCTGGCCAAACACGGACTGTGTTGGGTTGAAGCTAAGCTTTAGTATGATCGAAAAGGTGAATTCTTTCAATTGGGAGGTGGGAGACAAGGAAGGTGCAGTCTTGTTTGTCAAAGAGGTTCCGAGGAGGGGGATTACATGTTTGCACGGTGATACGGAGGACAATAAAGGTGGTTCGGTTGGATACCTCGCATGGAAGATATTGGTAATTGCTAATCACTCTAAATAACTTGTCCCTGTTACTACTTTTCTTACATTAGCATATATATTTCAAGATACTCTCATTAACTTATGATCAGCTGGATAGATGCAAAAAAAAAAAAAAAAACTTTTGTCAAGTATTGTTGAGTTGCTTTAGTGTGTTATAAATCATGTGTTGTTGTGCAATGCTCTTGAAATCTTCCAACAACTTTATTGTGCAATGCTCTTGAAATCTTACAACAACTTTATCGAATGCATGGTGAATTAAAATTATTAGACATTATACAGTCTTTTTTAATCATGTCTTTGGGATACTTGGTTTGGTAGGTAACTATTTGAAGTAGACTTGTTTCCTTATTGTGTCTGCTGTCCGAGATTGTCCTGGAACCATTGTCCAACTGTTGGAGCAAGGATTTCCTAGTTGGATGGGCAAGTAAACAAAGTTAAATAATTACATACGTATTCTATTGAATTGGTATGTAGAAATAGTTATCTGTATCAAAGGGAAAGAGGGATAGGATACATCAATGAGTGAACTGTATTTCTACACTAAAATAGATTTATATCTCCTTTTCCTTGGGGCAGAGGAGGGGGCCAGGATAGATCCCATGGTCCACTCCCACTCCGCCTCCATTCATTGTAAGATTCTTCATGCTCTGTCCAAATGTAGTTTTGGTATATTTTTTCTTTGTCCTAATTTCGAACCTCATGCAGATTTGTTTTCCTCTCTGTGCTTAACTATTATAACCCTGCTAAGTGATTCTACTGTTGTTCTTGCTCGTTCCTCTATCAAGTGAAATTATGTACATTAAACTTTATATTGTGATTTATCCTAATTACGTTGGACCTTACATCATCAAGTGATAAGATAGACACGTTTTCGCCACGGGGCCTTCAGGATGACTGACCAAGAGAAGGGGAATTCTGTATTTGATCACAGGTTGTAGTAGCATTGACACTTAGGGTGCGTTTGATTGCACACATTTTCCATGGAAAATGTGTTTTTTCCACATAATTTCCTACTTTTGTCTTGTTTGATTGATAATTTGTTCCAAGGAAAATATTTTCCTTGCTTTGGTCACGTGACCACATTTTCCTTGAAACAAGGAAAATATTTTCCTTGAGGGAAGGTGGATTTTATTTTCCATGGAATTTAACCCTTCCAAAAATTCTAGTTGGTAACCAACCACGTAAATCTCTCTCTCTCAACTCTACCCACTCACGTCCAAATCGCTACCTCTCTCTCTCACATCGATTCTCAGCCAGCAAGCCGTCTCTCGTCCATTCAACAGAGCAACCAGCGTCTCTCGCATCCATTCAATCGAAGCACGAAGAAGAAATCGACCGACCGTGTTTGAAGAAATCGACGAGACGATAACCGCATAGATTCAGGTTACTCTCACAATATTTGATTTCTATATGTGTAATTCTTAATTAAACTGAGTACAAAGCGAACACGGATTTTTTGGAATTTGTTTTTGTTTTTTTGATTTTGAGATTCCACATGATTGTATGCGAACTCGGATTCCAGAATTTTTCTCCTCTTTAATGACCCCCAATTCTATTTCTGTGATGGGTTCTGCAAGGTGGAGGTGGAGGTGGAGCTGGAAATAAATTGGGTTTGGGTTCTACAAGGTGGAGGTGGAATCTTGCAATTTTGTTGGCATATGTATCATTTAAGATTTCCCAGAGTTATGAAATCTTTGTCTTTATCTATACTTGCATTCGAAGACCTTGAATGAATTATGCTTTCAATGGTTGAGTTTCTTGATTAATTCTATTGGAGATATATCATTTTTGGTGGTTTTTACTATATCATTTTTGCTTTTTTAATATATGTTTTTTGCTGGTTTTTACTGCATTACATTCGAAGAGTAACTGGAATCCAATGGTATTTATATCGATGGTTTTGAGGGTAACATCAATTGAATAGTTCGTCACACATGTTAGTAGAATCTCAGAAATTGGTTGAGATTTCTTTGCTAGAGTAGTGTTTGGATTTTCAATAAGATAATTGCCGGTAAGTTATCACTGTTTGCCTAATATAGCACTTGGATCCTGACTTCAATTATGTTGGTATTAGGGTCAGCATTTTGACTATTTTGTAGCAATTTCATTTTTTCTGCTGTTTTCTATCTATTAGAACCATTTATCCTTCATGTTACTTGCATTTGAGGCTGCTTTCTTGGGTATCTTCGTAGGAAAAAGATTTTCATAAAAGGAATCTCTTTTTACTTGTTACCATATTTGATGAAATTTAAGTAAAATTTGTCTCAAATTCATTACCAAATTTTCATTTTTGGACAACACTTCAGAGTTAAAGATTCTGATGCACATTATATGTCTGTAGATGTCTTTTGGTATAGATTTTACGCATTCAACAGGGCAAAAAATTAAGTGTCCTGGTCAACCACCTCCAAGATTGAATCATCAACTGTTTAAATTATTATTAGGTTTTTCAAATAGCTAACTGGTTGGTTCGCTTGGGCCATATTCTAGCAAATTCTTTTGATGATTTATTTCAATTTAATTACTGGACT